AAAAAAAGTATTTTTTTTGCCTAGGTAACTTTTTTTTTTTTGTCATAACTTTTATTTTTTTGTCTAGGTAAGTTGTATTTTGTTTTTGAGAAAAAATTATTTTTTTGTCAAGGTTAGTTTTATTGTTTTTTGTCATACTTTTTATTTTTTTTCTAGATGAATTCTATGTTTTTTTGTCATAACTTTTGTTTTTTTTGTCAGGGTAACTTTTATTTTTTTTTGACAAAAAATTATTTTTTGTCAAGGTAACTTTTATTTATTTTTGTCAAAGTAATTTTTATTTTTTTCTAAAAATTTATTTTTTTCTGAAGATAATTTTTTTTTTTTGTTGTCATGACTCTTATTTTATTTTCAAGGTATCTTTTGTTTTATTTTTTGACAAAAAAATAACCTTGTTTTTTTTTGACAAAAAACTAAAAAGATGGTGGCTGCCCAGGTTCGAACTAGGATCATCTTGAAAGTGTTCTTCTAGAAGTGGTGATTTGGGTTAGAAGTATGGTTATAAACTGAATCCGAATGAAAAATATCGTATTAAATGTAATTATTGTAGAAATGATACTAATTGGGGCATTTACTGGATTAAAAAACACCTTGTCGGTATTAAGGGGGATGTTGCCCTATGTAAAAATATTCTCGAGGCTACCAGGGAGGAGTTTATACAATATTTGAATTAAGGGAAACACAAAAAGATAGACAATGGTAGAGTAACCAAGACTCCTAAGGCCTAATTTGTGCATACTAGTAAGAGAGAGGTAGAAGAAGAGGAGGAGGAAGATGCAAATTCAGAATAAATCGAGGAAGACGAGCATCATATTGAAGAGGGAGATGACTCTGATGATGATGGCCTCAAATCTTATGCATATGATGGGGCTTACCCTATTCCTTCTGATGATGATGATGATGATTTCTGAAGACTCTTGGTGTTAACTGTTGAGTGTTGACTATTGTGTCTTAGTCTGTATATTTCTGAATTTCTGTATATTTTATGTTTCTTATTTTTAGTGTCTGCTTTATAGTTTCTAGTTCAACTATGTAACTTTTATGTGTACAATCTACAATTTATTATTAGACTATCAATGTATGCTTGTATGGTTTACTGTTTTAGCGTTGTATGAAAATATGGATTCTGGTCTTATGGATTATCAAAGTTCACGACTTCTATCTTTTTTTTTTTGGATTGGGCCACCCAGGTTTTGGGTGCCCGCCCAGGCGCTGGACGGTGCGAACCGGCACGGTCGCTTGGGTGCCTCCTTGCGCTTTTTTAAAGACTGATGTTATGTATCTGTATTTGCATATATTTGTGTATGTCTATGTCTTTTGCCCTGTAGATTTTTGTTAACTTTGAAACTAGATGTTTCATGGTCAGGTTGAACTTATTTGTACACTGAATCAAACAAATTAGGTCATTTAGTTATTCACTAAGGGTGTGTTTGAATGGATCATGTATGCCACAACATTGTACTGTGGGTGTTTGGTGTGGCCCCGGATATATGGTAATCACTATTTTTTGGCATGAGCGCGAAACTACTGTAAGGTGTTTTATGCGGATGCCCTGTGGAGCGGCTTGGTCCAAGGACTAGTGGTCCAGTCACAAAATTGCTCTAACATGTATTTTGTATGTTCAATTAGCTAGGTCTTCTCTCTGAAGAGCTTCTGCTGTTGGTGGCTCCGTGGAGTAGGCAAACATGGTTCACACTCTTTAGAAGCAAATACCCCTTCTCAGACCTTACCATTGGATGTGTAAATGACAACATGGAACATTTGGTATAAATCATGTTATGTTTATTGATGGAGCGCATAAGATGTGTGGCATGCAGTGTTCAAATATTCAGTCGCTCAGCCGCCTAGGCGGCCAATTGCCTAAAACGCCTAGGTGGAACCTAGATAGAGCATCTACACTGCTTATGTCTAGGCACCGGCAAGGCACTACAGTCCAAGCGGCTGCCTAGGTGCTGACTCATTGCAAGTTGTTGAGGGTGGAAAAATTCCCTCGGTTATGGTTAAAATAGTAACACCCCCCCCACCAAAAGGGGGGAAAAGGGTTTTGGGCATAGTTATCGGGAGCGCCCATGTAGGGGTTTGCTTCTGCCCTGGAATCTCGATCCCGCGCTCCAAGTGACCGGATCTCGATTTCAAGCGCTTCCTTGCTTATTCGGATCTCATATCTGGAGTTATGGAAATTTGATTCCTATTATTTGGGAACAAGGTCCCTAGTAAGCGGGATCCAGATCCACATGCCCAAGATCATGGCCACAATATCATTCGGAACCACGATTCCATCATACCAAGAATCAAGTATCCTATACCATGGGAGTGAGGTGCACCTATAAAGTTTTTTTTATTCGTGTATAGTATTCTATTGTCCTCAATTTTTCTACGACGCATGCATTTTGCAATGACATTTTTGTCCAATTTTAAAGAAAGGCAACTAGAGTAGGGGCACGATTGGAAGGAGGTTGAAAAGTTAGCCTTACAATTTTATTGTGAAGTGGGGTCACGATCAACACACTTCATTACGGTAAAAGGATGTGTTACACAATCTGTTAATGTGTTGCACAAGCTGTTAATGGTGCATTTCTAACGAAATAATGTAATATTATGTAGAAGTCTCCAAGTACAGTCGGAATGGATTACACATTGTAAACCATAATTGTATATTTTAATACTGAACTGATCATGTTGTGTTTGTGTACCATCCTTACGTGGACGTTTATCAGCTTAGGTGAGATATGAAAGGGTGATAGTGGGTGGATGGCCATTGGTTGCGGCATGTATACTGTTTGTGTGTAAAGAAAATGAATCCAAATAATGTTAAAGGACCTGCAGCCCCGAATGCTAAATACTCACACCATCTTAAACACTCAATTACTTTTCTCACCAATCTTCTAAAGTTAATCAAAGAAGGGAAAACAAAAAAAAAATGCAACCACATCCTTCATATTCATGTTTGGGATCACATTCTTGGGCATTAGGGTTAATTAGAGCACAACGTTGGTAGAAAAGATGCATAACTTATAGCACTCCACTCCTCTATCCGTTCCCCCCGCTTTCTTGCTCAGTCCCTCTATCCACCCAAGAGCCCATTATTAGCATACCAAAAAATCGAACTTGCTCCAAGTTTAATGAACTCCGGAAACCCTGATCTTAGGAACGACACATCCCTTATGGTATGGAACCCACTCCCTGCTATATAGAATTGCACCCCTTATAAGTCATGGAACTTGTTCCCTTCCCCAGACCATGTACGATGCTCGCTTTGTTGTCTAGTGAACTTAGAGATAGACTCGCTCCGCGCTCCCGTTCCCGTTCTCGTTCCCGTTCCTAGAACTCCTCACTTTTCCGTTCCAGGTAACTATGGTTTTGGGGGACATTCTAAGCCCCCAAAACCAAATCCGTGCCATCTAGAGAGATAAAAACTCCTAAAAAACCTCGATTTTGTGATTTATCGAAAGGTCGATAAATTTTGATTTTTTCGACTTCCTCCGAAATCAAAGGCAATGCTTTGTGGTGGTTTTCGGAGCTTGTAGTGGTCAATAGTGAAGACGTTTGGTGATATATAGATGAGGTTTGGGCCGACATTGTTTTCATTTTGATATTTTTAGAGCATTATTCCATTATGATACTTGAAGAAGCGTTTTGATTTTTTTTACTATAACGTATAATGTTTTGAATTATTTGATTTTTTAACTTTTGTTTCCTTTTATGATGTTTTTACGTATTTGTAGTTGAAAGATTGATTTTTTTTTTGTGATTAATTGATTATTAACTTGTTTGGAAGATGAAATTGGTCCTATATCGAACTCTCTTATGAATAATTGGTTCTTATTTTCAACAATATGTGATGTTTTGATATCCTATTAGTTTTGTTTTACTTTTTGATATTTTTACATATTTGTAGATGAAACATTTACCAATTTGGACTTATATTTTGCGAATAGTCATAAACTTTGGATGAAATTGATATTTTGTGAATATTTGATATCCAAAACCAAATCTTATGGATATTAATTAATAAATTTATTATTATAACTTATTTCTTAATTCTTATGTGAATAGTCCCTACCCGTCCCTGTTCTTAGACGTGGGCACGAGGCCATCTAGGCAGCCAGGCCCCTAAAATGCCTAGGCTTAGGTTTGGGCATTGGTGGCATGCATGTAAATAACTGCTAGGTACATAGGTATGTTAAGCAGGTGGATGCATACACACCTATGGATGTGTGTACACTATTTTTGATTTGTGCATAATTCACATTGTTTGATGTTTGAGTTCTGCCAAATTTGTTGTTCTGTGGTTCTTGTCTTTTCTCATGTGCGAAGCTACCATAATGAGTTCTTGTTGAATAATATTTTAGAGTAAAATTGCGATTCTAGACTCCAATATATCTTTATTTTTGGGCACAGGGAATGATAGAAGTCTTGTGCACTGATGACTTTTAGCTTTGCGTTTGTACAGATCTGTTCGGAAGATAGTGAGTCTTGATAACCACATTGCATTGGCCTGTGCTGGACTGAAAGCAGATGCACGGGTTTTGATCAATAGGGCACGCATTGAATGCCAAAGTCACAGGCTTACTGTTGAGGATCCTGTAACTGTTGAACACATAACACGTTATATTGCCGGTCTTCAGCAGAAGTATACTCAAAGTGGTGGTGTGAGACCATTTGGACTTTCAACTTTAATTGTGGGTTTTGACCCGCATACTGGTATTCCTTCGCTATATCAGACAGATCCTTCAGGAACATTTTCTGCCTGGAAAGCTAATGCAACTGGGAGAAACTCAAATTCAATGAGAGAGTTTCTGGAGAAAAATTACAAGGAAACTTCAAAACAAGCAACTATCAAACTGGCCATTCGTGCGCTTCTTGAAGTAAGCTGCTGTCTTTACCTTTTGATATTTTGAACAAGTCCTTATCATATTTTGCATACGTTTTTGGAAGTAAGACATCTATATGTGAATGGCATTCATGTCTGGGCTGCATCACTTGTTCACCAGAAACATGATTTCCAGGGACCAATTGTGAACACTTTGTATTATAGATTTGTTTGATAATATTGTGATCAGCTTCAGAAACTCATTAATTCGAGTTGAACCATACTTTTCTTTTTGCGAAATTCATGACTGATCTTCAACATTGTCAGGAAACTCTATTTCATAGACATGTCCTAATTAATAATACCATGTGCTGGGCAAGCATGTGGCATTTCATGGTATTCCTTGTATTTTGCTGCGCTTGTTTGGGGGTTATATAATGATACATATTTTGTTCAATTTAACAGGTGGATGCTGTGTTTGTTATTGTTTATCATTGGCATTTGATTTTCTGATTTTCTGTCATTTGATGGTGATGTTGAATGCCTTAATAAAAATTGATTTTTATGGAGAAATGCATCTTCTTCAGAAATCAAGGTATTACTATTTGTCCTGGCAAAAAATGCCGAGTCCACAAAACAATTTTCCAAGTGATATAAAACAACATTCATATATTTATGTAAGTTTTTGATTAGGCATATCTTTATGCAAGTTGTTTCTTTTGATTGCTTCTGTAGATGTTTTTGACAAGGCATATCTTTATGTAAGTTGTTTCTTTTCATTGCTTTAGTAGATGTTGTAAAGATGATTGGACTTTTGTTTGTGTAATTATTGTTACTTGTTGCTTATGCTTGATCATCATCATCGTCTGAGCTTTATCCCAATTATTTAAGGTTAGCTACACAAATCTAGTTCTGCGATTCACCATATTTTGTCTTACTACTTATATACAATGTTCTTTGGGGCCTTCCCCTTCCCTTTTAGAGCCTTCTATTTGAACCAAATCACCCCTCATAACTGATGCTATTCTAGGTCGACGCTGCACATGACTGCACCACCTAAGTTTACTTTTCTTCATTTTATCACCTATTGGAGTTATCCCTAAGTTCCCTTGAATGTATTTATTCTGAATTCTATCATTCCTTCTTTTGCTACTCATCTATGTCAACATCCTCATCGCAACTGCACTCATTCTATAGATATGTTGTTTCTTTAATGTCCAGCATTCTGTACCATAATGCATGGTAGTAGTATTTTATGGAAGTTCACATTCAATTTCATAGTATGAGATGATCACATAGGGCTCCAGAAACACATCTCCAGGGTGTTCATCCAACATTAATTCTATAAGTAATCTCTTCCTCAATCTTTCTCATGGATTATTGACCCATGATATAGAAAATAATCTCTTTTAGGTACTTTCCAGCCATCAATCTTAATTAATTCCTCATTTCTACTTCTATTATTATTAAACTTGTATTTTATATATTTAATCTTAATCCGGTTAATTTTAAAACCTTTATATTCTAAAGCATCGCTCCAGAGTTTTGAACTTTGCGTTTATGTCTTTTCTAATCTCAACAATCAAAATTATGTCATTCACAAACAAAATACACCTCGGGACCTCATCCTGTAGATGCCTAGTTAACTTGTCCATAACTAAAGCAAAGCAATATGAGCTCAACATTGACCCCTGATGTAGGCCTATTGCCACTTATAGCTTACTTGTCTCTCTACTAGTTTTCCTCATATTAGTTGGCTCCCCACCATGTAAATATATCCTTTTGAGATTCTTTCCTTTCCCAACACTCACAAAATATCGCTCTAGGTATCCTTTTCGTGTGTTTTCTCTGAATCAATAATAACCATGTGAGGTCTTTTCTCCTCTTCTTAAACATCTGAATCAATTGCCTAAGTAGGAAAATAGTCTCAATGATTGATTTCCCTATAATAAATTCAAACTGATTCTCTGATGTGCTTGTTTCATATCTTTGTCATTGCTTAGTCGCTCTGTCTTATAGTTTAGAGTGTGCCTCATAAGTTTTATCCCTCGATAGTTTGTACATTTCTGTATATCCCATTTGTTCTTGTAAATAGGTACTACAATACTTTTCTTCCATTCATCTGACATTTTCTTTATTCTTAAAATCTTGTTATAACAATTTGGTCAACCAGAAATGCCAATCTCTCCCATACACTTCCAAACATCTATTAGTCTACCTTATGGTCCTAAAGCCTGTCCTATCTTCATCTTTCGTAAAGCCTCTTGTGCTTCAGATATCTTAATCCTATGAAAGTATTTATGACCTCTGGCCTCTTTTATGTCAATGGTTTCTCATAACGCTGAGCTCCTAGAGTAGTTGTCATTTAAGAACTTCTGAAAATAGATTCTCCAGCTTTCATTGACCTCGTCATCTTCACCAACAGCATTTGATTACACATTTAACATGATTTATGTCCCTACACTTCTTCTCATTTTAACTTATGTTGTCCCCAATTTATTGTATATATCATCATATGCCATAAGCTAGCTTTATTATTTTTTTAGCATTCCTCTTGGCATTTCTATATTCTTGTAAATAATTTCTATTCCCTTGCCAAGCTTTGTAATATGGTTGCTTTTCACCAATAGCCTTTTGAACCTCATTATTCTACCACCAAGTTTACTTATATGAAATTCTTTTCCCTCTAGGTTCTCGTAAAACTTGTTTTGCCACTTTCTTAATACAATCACCCATCTCATTTCTCGGAACATTAATTTCAATCCTCAAAATTTTATTTTTAGTCTTTCATCAATTTATTCTTAAATAAGTATTTTTCTCCCTTTTTAAGTTCCACCACCTAGTTCTTATATACTCATTAATGTCACTCCTCTTCCATGTCTTAATGCAAACATCCATAACCATGAACCTATGTTGCGTGATCAAACTCTCTCGTTGGATACTTACAATCTTTGCATGATGCTTGTTCTGCCTTTTTAACTAGAAAAAAAGTCTATTAATTTTTATATGATCCGCTTTTATAAGTTATTAAATTTTCGTTCAACTTTTTAAAACAGGTGTTTGCTATTATTTGATCGTAAGCCATAGAAAAATCAAGAATAGCATAACCTCTCTCATTTCTTTCTCCAAATCCACAGCCACCATGCACACTTTCATATTCTTTGCTATTTTTTCCTACTTGACCATGTAATTCCCCTCCTAAAAGAGTTCTCTCTCCATTTGGTATTCCTTGGACTAATCCATCCATGCTTTCCTTGAATTGCATTTTCATTCTATCATCTAATTCTACCTGTGCTGCATAAGCACTAAGTTCATTAATTTCTCTCCTAAGTTTAATTAATAAGAGCCTATCACCTACTCTTTTAGCGTCTACTACTTTATCCTTTAAATCTTTGTCTATCATTATAGCTATTATTATCTTTTCCTATATACCAAAGTTGATATTCATCAATTTCTTTAGTTTTTGCTCTTTTCCACTTGAGTTCTATAATAAACAAGTTTTGTTAATGCTCATTCATTTCATTGTATCCACTAATTCTATACTCTTATCTGATAGAGTTCATACATTCCATGTGGCTAGACGAATCCTATTCTCTTGGACTAGCTTCTTTGCCCATGCTCATCCAAAATGGCATGAGAACCCTTGCATACTTATCATAGCAACCGGGCGGCATTGCGGAATGTCGCTTTTAGGGAACAGCCTAGTTCTGTTTATGCTTGATGTTGCTATAAAAATCATGGACTGGGATGCTCATGGTTGCTAGAGGTATCATGACTCATGAGGAGTGACATGACCATTTACAAGATGTACTACGAGGATTAAAGACGAGAAGTGATTAGCAACATTAAATGAGTGAAAGGGGCGAAGTGGACTTGACAATTGCCATGGCTCTTCTATTTGACACCTTACATGCTACACGTATTTTTTTTTTCTTTTCGGTTTTTTTTTTTTGGTACAAGGGTGGCAATGGGCCAGGTGGCCCGGCCGGGTCATACGGGCCCTAAGAAACTAGGGTCTGGGCCACAAAATGTGGCTTGAGGTCCGGGTAACCATGCTTGACGTTAGGGCCAGGATGGGCCTGTGCCAAGGTAATTTATGGGGGAAAAAACAGTAGGTGCTATTTAGCTTGTGAGTCATTTTTAACTGATATAAGTCCTCTCTCTCTCACATACACTGCATATAGTAGTCATTTTATGTGGATATTAAATTTTGTGTGGTTCTATAAATTTCTGTGTTTCCTTTTCATGTTTGGTTTGTATGTTATTTTTCATATCAAACTTGGTCTCTGAACATGATTGAAATTAATCTTCTGGTATTTTGCTGATTGACTCGTTCCATTGCTATACTAATTTGAAGATGCACCGTATCACGTTAATATTCATAATTTTTGACTGGCATATGTTGATCCTCAGGTTGTTGAAAGTGGGGGTAAAAACATAGAGATTGCAGTGATGACCAAAGAGGGACTGTGCCAACTTGAGGAATCAGAAATTGATGCTATTGTTTCAGAAATTGAAGAGGAGAAAGCAGCTGCTGAGGCTGCCAAGAAGGGCCCCCCAAAAGATACCTAACAGAATTTTGTTCCCTTCGCTTAATACTGTATTGTGGTGATTGCCTTTTTAGGTGTTTTGATTTCGTTTCTAATTAACAATTGCTTTCATTTGCTGGAGCTGGGGTACCTGCAAAGTATAACTGGCGACATTAAGTTACAGTGAGATACTTTGGTATGAATTCATTCCCCCTTCATATTCAACATTCTGTCACAAAACTTCAAAAGTTTGCACTCAGGAATTCTCAACTTGTTGCAAATAATATTACTAGTGCCCTACCCCAAATTATGAGATCTGATACAGGACATCATGGTGTTCTCATGCACCCACTGTGTGCATGCACTTTCTGTACTCGCTTTCTGTGGATCGGTCATATTTGAGGGGGGAGTGCAGAGTCTGATCTGGTTAGATTGGTCTAGATGACATTGCACAATTTAGTGGGACGATTAAGACAGCATGATGATTGCCTTTATGTGAAGGGAAAAGTTTAAATGCTGGTTTATTCAAATGTGGTCTTCTTCCAAAAAATTGGCCTAAAAGAGATGGTTTACGATTTAAAACGCAACTTATTTTAGATGTATTTTTGCTTTGAATCATAATTTTATAGTTCAAAGGAATAGCAGGTCTGATGATTTGCAAAGAATCAAGTCAGTGGTCCAAAAATAAAATATAACATAGTTATTTACATTTTTTTCCTTCGAGATTCGTGATCTTTGTGGCTGAGATTATTGACCCATGAAATTTAAATTCAAAGCATGCCTCCGTGATGAAATTTGGAAATAGTCGTCATTTAAGAAACACAGAAACCCCATCATTTTGTGAGTATTATAACACCAGTCCACAATCAATAAGGACTATATAGTTCGTGTTACGAGCATATCGTATATTTATTTCCTTGCATGGATAGAAGACAAACTTGAACTTGACTCGAATCTGAGCCACCAAGCGTGAATTTAGCTTAGGAAGCTTAACCTAGCCAAGAATACATCATGAACTACGGCAATGTACTCCATAAATATGGAATGGTTTACAATGGGATCATTTACCTGTGATACAAGGTGGTTATAATTATTTACAACCATTTGATGTGAAATTTGAAGGCTTGGATGTGTCACAATGTTCGAGAAAATTTCTTTTAAGTTTTGAGTTGGTCAATAGAATAATTGTAGCTACTCAATTTCACATCTAATAGTTAAGATTAATGTGACTACCATGTACCTAAGGTAAATGGTTTCATTCTATACTTAAATATTTATATCATGAATAAAATGCCTTTACTTTCCTGTTTGAGGTGAGGTTAAAATATTCTGGGCAAGTATATAATGAGATTATTTACTTTTGGTATAAGGTGGTCACAATTGATCTTGACCATTGGATGTGATAATAGGTGGTTGGGGTTATTTTATTGACCAAGCTCGAAGTCCAAAAGAAATTTTTTTGAACATTGTGATACATCCAAGCTATCAGATTTCACATTGAATGATTGTAAGTAATTATGATCTCAATATATGAAAGGGAAATGGTTTCATTGTATACAATCCCATATATTAATTAGTATGTAATATATTATTTTGATATATTAGATGATATAATATATAATGTATAGTGTATAAATAGTTTATTAAACAAGCTCAAGACCTCAGGCTTAGCATGTCAAAAGGGTTGAGCTTGGCATGTTTACTGGCTGGTTCAGGTTGGCGTGGCTTGGTTCATCGAGTTTAACAAATAGTGCTCAAGCTTGGCTAATTACATCCCGGACGAGGTAGCTCATGGGCTAACCCCATTTGAATTTAAATTATGGGGAAGGTGAGTTTTTGTAGTTCTTTGGGTGGGTGTCCTAGAGAGAGAAAAACTATGATTTAGGGCTTGTGAGGGAGAGCTTGTAAACTTTTGCAACGTTTCAAAAAGTGTTAGGCGGAGCCCAGGCGGCTATGGGGGTCCAGTCCACCTAGCACTTAGGCGACCGCCCATAATCTGGATGATCCAGTTAAAAAAAAAAAAAAAAAAAAAAAAGGGAAGAAGAAGAAGAAGAAGATCATAATCCCACTATTTTAATAATCCATAAGACCATAATCCATATTCATACAATGTTAAAACAGTAAAATCATACAAGCATACACTGATAGTCTGATACATTGTAGACTGTATACATAAAAGTTAGATAGTAGAACTAGAAACTAGAAAGTAGAAACTAAAAATAAGAAAAAGAAAATATACAGAAATTCAGAAAATATACAGACACAATAGTCAACACCCAACACAACAGTCAACAATCAACATTCAACACCAAGAGTCTTCAGTCATCATCAAAAAGATTAGGATCAACTTCATTATATGCATTAGAATCGAGACCATCGTCAGAGTCATCTCACTCTTCAATATAATGCTCGTCTTCCTCTGTTTCTTCTTAATCTACCTCTTTCTCCTCCTCTTTTACCTCTCTCTTACTTGTATGTGCATATGATGCCATAAGAGTCTTGGCTGCTCTACCATTTTTTATCTTTTTGTGTTTCTCTGAACTCAAATATTGTATATTTTCCTCCCTGGTAGCCTCATGAACTTTTTTACACGAGACAACATCTTTCTTAATACCGACAAGGTGTTTTTTAGATCGGTAAATACCCCAATTAGTATCATTTCCACAATAATTACATTTAATACGATTTTTGTCATTTGGATTCGGGTTATAACCATACTTCCGACCCGGATCACTACTTCCAAAAGAACCTCTTTATGTAGAATAAGGCTTATTTTCATCATTTTCTGGTTCTTTTAAATTCATAAATTGTTTAATCTCATCTCGAATAGCTTCAATAACTTTTTTACAATAAGCAACCTTCTCTTTAATACCAACCATATATTTATTGAATCGGTTAATATCCCCATTGATATATTTTTCACAAAAGTTACACCTTATACAATTTTTATTGTTTGGTTTTGGGTTATAACCATATTTCTAACCCGGATCACTTCTTTTAGAAATAGCAGAAATAGATCTATACAAATGACAAGGATTTTGTTTCTGGTTTTGTTTTACAAAGCTCACATATTGCTTAATCTCATATTTGATAGCTTCATGAACATTTTTACCAGAGGCAACATCCCCCTTAATACCAGCAATATATTTCTTAAAACAGTTTATTTCCCCTTTCATATTTTTTTTCACAAAATTGCATCTAATGGAATTTTTGTCTTTTAGATTTGGGTTATATCCATATTTTCAACTCGGATCTCCATTTTGATTAGATCTTGAAAAAGACATCTCAAAATAAAACAAGCAATCTAAAAAATAATTTTTTGTACTTACTGTGATTGTTTAAACTCTAAACTTTCACCTTTGAGATGTTTTTTGGTGCTAAAATAATAAAACACACTCTCTAATAAGATTATAAATCTCCAAAGCTGATTCAAATCTAGCTGGATAATGTTTGGATTTGTTTTCCATAACTTTGAGCAGCACTTTGATATAATGAAAATCACAAATTTTAGTTTTCTTGAGTTTTTCTCTCTAAAATGGGTTATTGTGGGTTTAGGTTTGAAATGAACCTAAACCTTCAAATCCTTTATATTTTTTTTAAAAATCAATACAACTCCAAATTCTTTATATTTGGGGACCTGCCTAGGTGGGTTTCGTACCGCCTAGGCCTGGGCGATGCGCATAGGTCTTCTGGACCGTTTAGGTGACCGCTTAGGCATCTGGCGGTTTACGTTTTGAATCACTGAACCCTTGTATTCTTTATATGCTTCTATGGTATTTTTCTGATGAGTAAAAGAGTGTTCTATGATGTAGCAATTTACTGAACCGTATAAATCTTCTTTCCATTTTATTTTATCCAAACTTTGGTTTTTATCATATATATGAAAATGTTTATAAAAAGTTGATGCGCTAAACATTCCAATTAGGCACACCTCAAAAATTCACTACAGGGATTTGCTTCAATGCCCAAATATCCTCAAATCGATCATCTCGACCTCAAGATGTATGGACATGAGAAAAATGAATTTCTAGTATTGGAAGTAGTGCATCTTGTAATGCATTTTCTAGACGGTGAAGTTTCAAGAGTTTTTAAGTTTTCATAGATCTGCTCGATCTACACTATCTTTGAAGCTATAAATTTTATAATTATAGATGAAAATAAAGTTTAGGGAAAATATCTCTGTATCCCCTATTTTTAAGTTTCATTTCTTGATAAGCCTAAGGTTTCAAAAGGTTTCTTCCCCTTGGCCATTTTAGACCTATTTTTTAACCTAAACAAATGTGAGAAAGACATGCTCTTTCTAAACTCAATATTTTCTCTCTTTTTACTTATATATGCCTTCTCTCTTTCTCTCTCTTCCCGCATCTCTTTCTCCTCCCATGTTTCTTCAAATACCCCTCTCTCTCTTTCTCTCTCTCTCTCTCTCTCTCCCAGTAGCCTCTCACGTCCATGAATCCGTTCTCTCTCTCTCTATAAGTTTGGAAGGATGACCTTTAAAAAAGGTACGTCTTTTTAAACTTGTTTGGCTTCAAAAAATAGGTTTTAATTAGCTCACGGGGTTAGAAAAAATTAAATCTACAATTTTATCGCCTCAANATTATACTTTTAAAACTAGTTAGGTTTATTGTGAGTTAGAAAACCCTAAAAAGTTAGGGGAGTATAGGAGTACTTCTTTTACCTTTT